AGAGTGGTCCCAAATCAGAAACTTGGAATCATTTAGGCTGGAAAAGCCCTTTGACATAACTGAGTCCAACCCTTCCCTCAGCACTGCCAAGGCCACCATTGATCCATGTCCCCAAGTGCCACATCCTCATGGATTTTAAACCCCTCCAGGGATGGGGACTCCACCTCACTCCTCACAGGACTTGTGCTACAGAGCCTCCACCAGCTCTGCTGCCCTGGATGCAGAAAACAAAAGGAATGTGGATGAGAGTGTTAAGAAGAGGCAAAGCCCCACAATCCCAGCCCAAAGCAGAGGGAAGCTTCTCCCTGCACTGCCCAAAACCAGCAGAAGCTTTTCACCCCTGACCTCTTCAGCTTCTTTTTAGTGCATGGCAAATTCAGGCTCACCTTTGCTGCAGCTGGGGTATGGATGGCAAAGACAAAAAAAGCAAAAAGCAGCCCCTGGCAGGTGTGTCCCACCCCAGGGAGGTGTCCAGCCATGAGGGGGAAGTGCCAGGGACTCAAGAGTGATGGGCAACAACTCAGTATTTGAGACAGGCATGAATAGCTGCTCTGAATCATTGTCTCTCCATTTTCCAACCCAGAACACTTTCAAACCTGCTTAAAATCTGCTACCAGAATCTTTTTCTGGGAGACCTTTCTAACCTGCACCAGCAACAGTAAAATGATTTTAAGACTGAGTTTGATCAACTGGCTGGCATTCAAGGCCAGGTTGGACAGGGCTTGGAGCAACCTGGGATGGTGGAAAGTGTTCCTGTGAATAGCAGGGGGTGGAACTGGATGGGATTTAAGGACCCTTCCAACCCAAACAGCCCATAATTCCCTCCTGTGAGCTGTAGGTATCATTACACTGCTCATCACAGAGAAAAGATCAGGCAAAAAGGGACAATCACCCCTTCAGCAAATCTATCCCACTGCCAAGGGACTGTGCTCTCAAAACATCACACCACCAGACACTTCTGCAAGAGGATCACCACTCCAATCCACAGGTGGTTTGGTTCCTAATGCCCAGTCCCAACCAGGACCAAGCTTGGAAATTGCGGGTATTGGTTTTGGTGGTTTTTTTTGTTTTTTATTTTGTTGGATGGCATCTCAAGGAGCAATCTGCAAACTGAGCTCTGGCCCTGAAATCACTCCTTCAATTATTCCTTAACATCACATTTAACTCCACAGACTCTTCCCATCCCTAAAAAGCAAACTAACACCAGCGAACCCCTGCAGAAACACAGCTCTCTCAAGGCAGGCGAGGCTCCACTGTCCACAACCATCATTTGAAATAATGTTACAGCTCCACATCTGCCAGCTACATCAATGAAACAGCGCGTGCCTAAAGCTCTCCCCTGGGAAAAGGGATTTAAAAAGAAAAGCTAAAGCTCATCTTACTCCAACCCCACTGCCACGGGCAGACACCTCCACCAGACCAGGCTGCTCCAAGCCCTTTCCAACCTGGCCTGAGCAGCCAAGCTCTCCAGGTGGAATTCCCTGCGTTCCAAACTCCGCCTGTTGCTTCCCATCCGCCTGTTCCACATCCCAAGATCCCAGCTCCATCCTCTGCCTCCCCGTGCTCCTGTCAGCAGCTCCCCAGTCACCTGTGCCACCCTGACCCTGGGCATCCCACACCAGCTGATGTTCCTGCTGGCTGCCAGCACCTCTGGGATCAGGGATTACACCCCATGGATAGGGACAAGGGCACCGGACTGCCCTGGCACATCTCCACAAGAGCTCTGAAAATCCAGAGAGGATCGTTCCTGCTCCCAGCAAAAGGGGACAGGAAAAGCCCCTTCCAAAGCACCACCAAACCTTCTCCCCACAGCACAACGTGCTTACCCCGCTTTTTGGGGCGCTGTGACAAATGACAGCCTGTCCCTGCGTGCACCCACTGACCCAGTTCGGGGTGCAGAGCTCCAGCCCAGAGATCTGCATCCTGCACCGACCTGCCAGAGCATCCCGAAACATTCCTGGAAAGCAATCCAGCCCGGTCCCTCCCACCGGGAGGTCACACCCTCCCCAGCTCCTTGTCACAGGTCCCCCCCCACCTGCTCCAATCTGTCGGAATGGGGGCCAATTATGGCGATGTTCATCCAAGGAATGACGCCCATCCATCCCCCTGTGCCCTGTCCGCCCGTGTCCCGCTCACTTCTGCCCCAGTTCCCTCGGTCACTGCTGCGGGGAGGGCGGGCGGGAGGCAGAGAATGGATGGAGCTGAAGATGATGATGGCCACATCCCTGCCTCAAGCTCCAGGACTCTCTCCTCCAGCACGGACGCGAGTGCAGCTGATCAGTATTCAGGGACAGGCTCCCGGCTGCCCGCTGCCACCCCTCCTCCTCCTCCTCCTCCTCCTCCCGGTGCCTCCGAGTGCGGCAGGAGGTGGCACCCCGCGGCTCCCCGCTCCCACGGGGGATTTCACGCCTCTCTCCTCCTCCTCCTCCCCAAACCATCGCCCCCTGTTGCTTCCCCAGCCCTGCGGCGCACATGTCCCCGACCCACCACCCCCGGGGGGGCCCTGCCAGCTCCTTTGGTGCAGCTGGCACGGCCGGATTTGGGAACCCGCATCATCTGCACGATGTCCCCACGCCGAGGGGACAGCACGGAACGGGAGAGGATGGCACGGCTGAGGATGCTGCCACCCCGGCAGCTGCGGGAGATGGAACGCGTGGGGCAAGGTGGCTCGGCTGGGGCTGCTGGCAGAAGCCGGGGCTCACCTTGTGGAGCTTCCACATGGCTCCCAGCGCCTTGACCTCGTGGCTGGAGTGCTTGCCCTCCTCCAGGCACTGGTAGCAGACGGGGCTCTTGCACTGCACGCAGTACATGCTGTGGTTCTCCAGCTCGTGGTCGGTGCAGGTGGAGATCTTGCGGGGGCTGAGCCGGCGGCTGACGCGGCCCTGGGCCGGCGGCACCAGGCGGTGCTTGGCCAGCGGTCCCCGCGGCGGGTGGCACCGCAGGCGGCACGGGTCGCAGTAGAACACGTCGCACTGCTCGCACATCACGGCCGCCTCCTTGGGCGCCTTCTCGCAGAGCTGGCACCGCAGGGCCGCCGCCCTGCCCTGCTGGTAGCGGTCGATGACGCCCTCGAGCAGGCGGTTGCGGGGGAAGCCCCGCAGCCCGCGCTCGTCCAGCACCAGGCTGCGGTGGCACTGCGGGCAGGTCAGGCACGCGTTGCGCGGCGGCGGCGGCGGCGCCAGCGCGGCGGGAGGAGGCGGCGCGGCCGGCGGGAACACGCGAACCCCGTTCGGGGACTTCTGGCACGGCGTGGTGGGAGCGCTGGCGAAGCCCCCGTAGGAGCCGTAGCCGCTGTCCGCCTCGCTGTACAGGCTCAACAAGGACACATTGGACACTCACCTGAACAGTGGCCAAGAGCCAGTGCCTTTAGAACAGCGCAGCAACCACAAGCCTGAGCTCTCTCTTGGGGGGGATCAGCAATGCCAAGGCTGCAGTCCCAATGCTGGGCAGCATCTAGTAACAGAGGTGGGCACAGAAGTGCCCTGCTATCCTGTCCTCCTGGTGGGATAAAAGGGCACTTGTGATTCACCCTGGCTTTGCACAAGTGTTAGGAGGCACACACCCCCACTCACCATCCATCCATCCATCCATCCATCCATCCATCCATCCATCCATCCATCCATCCATCCATCCATCCATCCATCCATCCATCCATCCATCCATCCATCCATCCATCCATCCATCCATCCATCCATCCATCCATCCATCCATCCATCCATCCATCCATCCATCCAAACACCATCCAGCTGCTGAGCCTGCACTCTGCACACATTTCCAGCAGAAGAGGGACTCAGATGTGTGAGGAATAAATGATTCAGCTCCATCTTGTGCTCCTGCTCCTGGCATGCCAAGCAGCACTCCAGCTCGTCAGGATAAAAACCCAGACAGCTGCAATATCTGTGCAAAACTGGGACAATTCAGATTAAAAACTCATTTCCCTCTACGTTTCCCTGAATATTCACCCCACTCCCAACAACTGAAAGAAAGCAGGGACAGAGAGGATTTGCCACAATCTGTGTCCAGCTTAGAAACCCCAGCTCCCTGAATGACAATTGATTGTGCCTCAGCAGAGATTATTTTCAATGATCATCCCAGAGATCCTTCCGGGAGGAAAGGGGAAATGGGGGCAGCTCCCAAAGAGGGCTGTGCAAACCCTTTGGATTTGGTTCCAGGGGGAGCACACTGCACTCAGCAGGGATTGATTGCCCTGGGTCTGCAATCACCTACTGAGGCATGAACACTGCTGCTTTCAGGAGGCACAGCTCATCCAGGCACTCCGGGGTCACACAGCCTCTGGGGACAATCACAGCCCCGCTGGGCCAGAAGGGAAGAGCATCCCAAGGAACATCCACACCAAGAGGTGCTGGAATGGTGCAAGAGAATTCAGGAGCTGGCTGGTGGGTGTTAATTGAAAGAGACTTGATTTAGGTGGAATATTGGGAAGGAATTCCTGGCTGGGAGAGTGGGGAGGGCGGGCGGGAGGCAGAGGATGGATGGAGCTGAAGATGATGATGGCCACATCCCTGCCTCAAGCTCCAGGACTCTCTCCTCCAGCACGGACGCGAGTGCAGCTGATCAGTATTCAGGGACAGGCTCCCGGCTGCCCGCTGCCACCCCTCCTCCTCCTCCTCCTCCTCCTCCCGGTGCCTCCGAGTGCGGCAGGAGGTGGCACCCCGCGGCTCCCCGCTCCCACGGGGGATTTCACGCCTCTCTCCTCCTCCTCCTCCCCAAACCATCGCCCCCTGTTGCTTCCCCAGCCCTGCGGCGCAGATGTCCCCGACCCACCACCCCCGGGGGGGCCCTGCCAGCTCCTTTGGTGCAGCTGGCACGGCCGGATTTGGGAACCCGCATCATCTGCACGATGTCCCCACGCCGAGGGGACAGCACGGAACGGGAGAGGATGGCACGGCTGAGGATGCTGCCACCCCGGCAGCTGCGGGAGATGGAACGCGTGGGGCAAGGTGGCTCGGCTGGGGCTGCTGGCAGAAGCCGGGGCTCACCTTGTGGAGCTTCCACATGGCTCCCAGCGCCTTGACCTCGTGGCTGGAGTGCTTGCCCTCCTCCAGGCACTGGTAGCAGACGGGGCTCTTGCACTGCACGCAGTACATGCTGTGGTTCTCCAGCTCGTGGTCGGTGCAGGTGGAGATCTTGCGGGGGCTGAGCCGGCGGCTGACGCGGCCCTGGGCCGGCGGCACCAGGCGGTGCTTGGCCAGCGGTCCCCGCGGCGGGTGGCACCGCAGGCGGCACGGGTCGCAGTAGAACACGTCGCACTGCTCGCACATCACGGCCGCCTCCTTGGGCGCCTTCTCGCAGAGCTGGCACCGCAGGGCCGCCGCCCTGCCCTGCTGGTAGCGGTCGATGACGCCCTCGAGCAGGCGGTTGCGGGGGAAGCCCCGCAGCCCGCGCTCGTCCAGCACCAGGCTGCGGTGGCACTGCGGGCAGGTCAGGCACGCGTTGCGCGGCGGCGGCGGCGGCGCCAGCGCGGCGGGAGGAGGCGGCGCGGCCGGCGGGAACACGCGAACCCCGTTCGGGGACTTCTGGCACGGCGTGGTGGGAGCGCTGGCGAAGCCCCCGTAGGAGCCGTAGCCGCTGTCCGCCTCGCTGTACAGGCTCATCTTGTCCAGGTCCAGGTAGTCATAGTCGGAGACGGCCGAGCCCGAGGCGCGGCGGCTCTGCGGAGACTCCGAGTCTGGCGTCTGCACCAGGATGTTGCGGGCGCACGCCTGGCACAGGTTGTGCGAGCAGGGCAGGATGATGGGCTCCCGGTAAAAGGAGCCGCACACCGGGCATTTCAGCTCCTCTTCCATCTCTTCCATAGGGGAGGGAAGGAGGAGGGCGGCGGCGCGGCTCCGGCGGCCGCGGCAGGAGCCCGAGGAGCGACCCGCACCGCACCGCGCCTCGGCGCCGACTGCCGCCCGCCCGC